CGTGGTTAAATATCGTCATACGTAACTAACCGGTTCAAGCGTAAGCACGTATCAATGGTTATAATTTTTGCGAGTCTACTCATGAGTTGTATCTATGCACGTTGATTTGATTGACTACCATTTGGTTAGTTTGGTTAGTTAGTATATGCACAAACATATAAACATATGATTTTCTAACCATTTTTCACAACTCTTTGACGAGGCGAGCGCTGCCCATACGTACCATGTAAGCATTGAGGTCTTCTTCTCCGCGCATCTTTAAATATGTTTTGGACAAAAAAAAATTATGTTTTTGTTTTTTTTTGCTATTATGAATTTATGTTGATTATCTTTCGTGTTTAACGGTTTCTTTCCCAATGACCTTTGCCAACATATCCGCCCATATTCGCTACTACTTACTAGTTACTACACATGCACAGCTATATACAAGCTTACATTTTAATACTTTTTTCTTGTACGAGTACGCTTTAGCGATTATCTAAAAATGGTAGTTGCACTTATAAAGTAAAGTAAGCAATCAAGTTTTGAGACAGTTTTTTTTCATTTAATTTCAAAAACTGGTCAATACTGTATATAAAAAGTGTATAAAAAATAGCACAAATGTAAAAAAGCCACAAAAAACACTATATGTTTACTACCAAAAGTGGCAACCTTTTTGTATGCAAATGAGTCACAAGTGTTGTTTATTCTTTCGTTCGATTAGCCAATGTACCGTTATTCGACCTTGACTCCGCGCAATAACGAACGAGATTGACTAATTCTTTCTGATAAAAATGCACCTTTGCACTATGGTTAAGTTGATCAGTTTTTTGTAGCAAAAAGTCGTTTTTCATACTTATAAAAATAAACCTTTTTACCCTTGGTATTTGATAAAGAAAACTTCAAACCAAATAACGGTATCTTTTGTTTTTGTAAACTTAGCAGGTGGTCAAAGTTGTTGTCTGTAAGTGAAATATTGGCATCGATTTTGTATTCAGCTATTTTCGATCAACCATATTTAAGTTAAAAATTATCTACAAAGTAAAAAAAAGTATAGAAAAAAAGTAATTTTTAAGCAAAAAACATAACCGACTTCAATTCTCATATAAAAATTTAGGAGTGCCGTAAATTTTTTCATGATCCAATGATCGGATCAAAACCAAAAAGAATTATCGAAATCGGTTGACGCGGTGCAAAGTTATGCGATAACATACAACAAAAAATATGCCGACGAATTGATAACCTCCTCCTTTTTTGAAGTCGGTTAATGAACACATTTAACTGGTATTTTTCTGATTATAATTTTTGAGCGAATATACATTAGGATGGTAAAAAAAAAGGAAAGCCGGAATTTTGATGTTCTATACCGAAAAAATATACCCCCTTTTTTCTTTATTTTGAAATCAAAAAATATTTAGCGGTCACTCAAAGCGCTCAAGGTTTTCCATGTATTTTATATGTGGGAAATGGCATAGAATTCCTGAAAATCAATCAAATATTCAATCGGAAAAACTCTGTTTCTCTTCAGGAGACTCTCAATAATGATACCCAATTGAATGGTCAACAGTTTTCTTAAAACTAGTTTCTTTAACTTCAAACGATATAAATGTAGTATGTAAATTGTACACTAGGGTGGATCAAATTAGTCGGACGAAAGTTTTTCGACGAATCAAATATTATATTCTGTTTCTATAGATAATTCTAAAAGATTATATAGAATAAACTTTAAGTTGGAAATGAGTTTCCAGCCTGCGCAGTTTTAAAAGAAAAATTTACTTTTTCAGAAAATTTTATTCTTTCATTCTATGCCGGTTTTACAGCGTTCACCTTTTGTTACAACTAATGAATACAAAATACGTACATATATCTTTTAGTTTATTACATTTTTAATTGATTTACCATATTTACCATCCAAAATCCGTGTCAAAATTATAAACGCGCCACATATTGACAAGTGTTAACATTTTTTTTTGTCATTTAATTTTAGTTATTTTTTTTGTAAAGATATTTTTTACTCTAAAAAAGTCGTATAAATCCAAATTTAAAACTTTGTGCAATTTAAAAAAAAAATTAGCAATTTTTGGTAAAAATGTAAAGATTTTTAGATGGATTTCTTAGGAAAATGTTGAGCAAGTGCAAGTAGCTAAGACTTATCGTCGATTTTTGACATTTTTTTGTTGAAAAATAAAATAAAAAATAATTTTCAGCAAAAATTACAAAAATTTTTACTGTTTGCTAATTCTTTAAGTTTAAAATTCAAAAATGTTGAAAACAAATAAAGCAAATATAAGAAACTTAAATACGACATTTTATATGAAAAAGTTTTAAGAAAAGTTGAAAAAACTAATATCGTAAAAAGGTAATTTTTTCACTAAATAATGCGCACGATCGAAACTCATTTCTGACCTATCGTTTCTTCTAAATTCTCAGGATTATCTGCAGAATCAGGAAATACCATGCGATTTCTTAAAATCAAAAGTGACCCAGCCTATTGTACATATATATTTTATACTGTAAGAGCAAGTTTTTTGAATACTCATATACCGAAAAAGTAGAAAACCAAATCAAATGAGCTTATGTATGTACGTGCGTTATTAAACACACTTTATTCTTATTTCTGCAGAATTATAATTTTGCAGCGGCAACCATTCAATTGTTTATTTAACCATTTTTTAATACATATAACTCTTTTCACATGCACTTTTGGACCACTCTAATATACAACTTCTGACATAACCTTCAATTAATTTTTTTCTTAAAATTTGAAAAAATTTTTAGAATGTTGGCCAAGTTTAGACTATCAAAAACATGTAACATGAGTTTGATTCGTCAGTTTCATGTTGCCATTTTTTGCAATTTCTGAGAAAATGTTTTTTACAAGCTGGGTTTTTAGGTATTCTTGCACTATAACCAGCGAACTATTTAACATTTGGGAGGACAACTCAATAAAGAGAGGAAACAAAAGGCTGTTTATAACCTTGTTGTTGCAATGGCTGCTCTTTTTAACTTTCCAGCAGATAAATTAGGAAATTCAGACCTTTCAGGTTTGCAATTGAAATTAATATAATTTGGAAAAAGTTTTCAAAACTAGCTACTTATAAATAGTTTTTGTAATTAAGTGGCACCTTTTTCTTTAAAACAAATATTTAAAAAAAACTACATTCAATAAAACCACATATTGAAATTTAATGCCCTTGGCTCATTGGTCGTCAGGGGTTGACAAAAATCAAGGCAACAAAATGTAGGAAATCATTCACAGCATAAGATTAAGAAATCGCATGAAAGTAAGCCGCATTGTTTGAACTTTAATTTGGTCCCGAATGGCGCGGAGACGTGTTTTCCAATTTTGATGGAGCTAAAAGTTGTGCTCAACGTCAGTTTCTCTTCATGCTGTCAAAGCAATGAAAATTGGTTGCTTATCTTGTGTCTTTTCCAGGATTTGACACACTGAAAATCTGGTCAATGATGCAATGATAAAGTCAATCAGTTTGTTTATGAAGAGCTCCAGTCTTCCACATAGTATCGTCTATGGGACCTTATATGTAATATTGAGAAGATTTGTACCGCAGCAATTGCCACAATAGCAGGATATCCCATCACTGAGGTTCCAATTTTCGGCCTAATTTCCTTCAAACCAAATTGCGTCCAATCCGCCTTTCGCCACCGGTTTTGAACAGCTCAGCCGCCTTCTTCAAACGAGGCATCGGTATCGTCATTCAAAAGCATTGATAAATGATCCCTATATATTTAAAGTGTACACTGGATAGTTTTTCCGTCTTCATCTCTACATCCGTTTCCGTCTTCATCTCTACATAAATTAGCTGCGGTCTTGAAACGATTTTACTGCCGCCCTATTTTCTGACAGAATTTCCGTGCTCCATTCTTTCTTGCCAGGTTTCAAAGCTCTTGCACTCACGTCTTTCTATCTCCATTTTCTTCCTCTTGAAAATCGTGTCTCTCGATGGCATTGTTAGCGGGGTGGTTTCTTTTAATTTCACTGTTGCAAAGTGTTTGGTCGAACTTCTCTAATTTGTGGGGTGCATGCTGATTTTATAACACAAATGGAGGGACCTAAAGTTTTCTACCGCCTCTGAACGGCAATCGAGTGGCGACCGCTGTTCCTTTTCTAATTTAAATGTTGCCCTGGCCAGAGGTCGAACTCATGATCCTGCGTAGTGGTAGTACCCATCTCTAATCGCTCAGTCACAGAGGCCGTCAGAAGAAACTATGTATCTTAATACTAGTCACGGCTAGTCTAGATTTTGCAAGATTTTCTGGGGATTTTTGGGTACCGTTCTGAATTTTTTCGAGATTCCTGGCGTTTTATTTTTGGGGATTTTTTTTTGAGAACTACCGATAATTTCTCGATTTTTTTTTAACGTTCCAGCTTTTTTGCGATTTTTCTTTGTGTTTTGTTTTGTGATTTCTTGGATTGATATCCCGATTTTTTTGAGATTTTCTTGTGATATTTCTCTAAAGGCTAAATACTCTTCATACTCTTTTTTCATATTGGATTTTTCGAAATTTTTAGGGTTCTCTCGTGATTTTATAGGAATTTTCGCGACTTTTTTGAGACTCTTCCGGGTTTCGTGATTTACTTTTTTCAGAATTTTTTTCGAAAGCTCTTTGGGACATTTTCGAGACCTTGTAGGATTTTTGCGAATTTATATTTTCAGATTTCCATGAACTTTCCTTTTTTTGAATACCAAAAAATTAAAAGACAAAAATAAGGAGGGGTTCTCTTTGAAAAAAAAAAAACAATAGTTTAACAATTTCTGTTGGTTTCGATTATAAAATGCGTAGTTGAAATCTATCTGTAACTCAAACTGATCTAAGAACCACACTCGATTGTAACAAAGAGGATACGATCAAAAATATAAATGAAACGACTAGGCCTAGCTCGCTTTGTATATTTTATAAAGTCATTTATAAAATATAATAACAAATAAATGAATAAATACAAAACTATTTCATAAAATTTTTTCAGTTACATAAAAATTATTACGAATATTTAACTTGCATATAATTTATTTATTAATTTATTTATATTTTTTAATTTTCCGCCACCAAATTAATCAAATTCCAGCTTTCGAAAGCTACCTTCCAGCCCAAACATTGAACTCATATCGACTTTTTGTCCCTGCCTCAAATTTTCATCTATACCATATTTTTCATTTTCCTCAAAATAAGAATTAAAAGCTACCAATTCCTTTTCATGTTGCTTAGCCATATCCGCTAAAGAACCATTTTGACCGCCATATTCGATTGGAAGGCACTCCTTGGGCACATACTTGTACAGTTCCTCCATGTTACGGTGTATGAAGAACTAAAATAAAATAAAAGCAACAAAATATTACAGAATTTTTTTTTTTTACTTTTGTTAGCACTTACCCTATCCTTTATGTGCGCTGGAAAAATATTGCGTACAATATTGATCGCTGTCAAGCCCTCTTTGGGTGCATTTATAATATGTACACCCTTAATACGTATAGGGCAACCTTTTATGCAGTATGTGCTCAATTGTTTAACACTGACAGGATCAAATTTCGACATGGCACTCAGGCCGACTTTGTTGACATCAAGGATTTCCATATAACCGCCTATTACGTACTGGTCTGTTGCGACAATCGTTTTATCCGTTATCATAGCTACATAGCGACAGAAATCCTTAACGGTAATTGGTAAATCGTCTATTATTTTATAGCGTGAAAATCCAATGACGGGACCACCAACCCCTAATGGTTTCGGTAATGCTACATAGCAACTAAAATAAATACAATTAATTTCACTGCAGTTAATTTTTGGGTTTTGAGAAGACCGTATGACTATCAAGTTCTTGAATGCCCGCAATAAACGTGAAAGTAAAAGAAAACAGTTTCCACGTCGGCTTTAAAAATACTGGGCTCGAATCTTACCATACGATTTCGTATTAATCGTCACGTAGGACACACATTTTTCGGAGTATGACATACGTGAACGTACTCTTTATCCCATTCAGCACATAATTTTCTTTCGTGTGGTTTTCGATCCGTGAACGGATGTTACGATTCGAGCCCTTTGCCAAATTCAACTCAAACTCACCCTGATCGCACAATTAACAAATGATTCGGATCTGCCATTGTATTATTCGCAAACATGTGCGGCACCATAGTACGTATCGTATAGAAGTGATCAATTTTTGATTTGGCCTTCTCCAAACTGTATTTGCAGCCGCGTAGGAAGTTGACCAAGAATTGATCGTCGGTGCGTGCGCGCAAATGCGGTTGTTTCTCGATCCAATCGCGTAGCGCAGCTATGTCCTGTGGCACACGTTCAGGCACTTCGTTCAGCTGTTCGATAGCAATTTTTTGCAGTTCAGCGCTCAAGGGTCGTATAGCTGCCATTTTTGGTTTTCCGTTTGCTACTATCTAAAATCAGCTATCGATTTAAACTGTGCACTATAATGATTCAAATAATACTGTTTGCTTTATGTGCATGCGAAGCGGCTCAATGCGCTTGTCCATGAACAAAATCGGATCGTTTTATAATAACAATAATTCTGATGTAAATAGTTAGATATGTTAATGTTTTTAATTGTTGGTAAATGGACAAAAAATTTTTAGATCTTTCTAAGTATTTACTATATATTTCAACATTTAATTGTTTTACGTGTATTATATATGGATCATTCCATGGAAAAGAGAAAAACGACATGAATTTTAAAATGCCTTAATTAACTATTTATAAATTTCCAGCAAAGTTTTTAATAAAGAAAAAAGCGCTTATTATGTATGTTAGGGCTGTGCGATTATTCGATTACTCGAGCAAGTTGGTTAATCAGTTATTCGGTTAATCAATTACTCAAAACGATGATTAATCGAGTTACTTAAAATATGGTTACACAAAAAAAGAGTTTGCTTTGGAAAATGCTTATTTTCTTTTTTACAATCTATATATGAAAAAAATATTCCATTTTAATTTTTGAAAACATAAACGTTGTTTTCAAAGTATCAAGGAACTTCAACTACTTTATATGTAAAGAGTACTTTGAAATGTTGATTACTCATTATGTTGATTAATCATAAAGCAAATTACTCAAATATGTTTGTTTTGGTGGGTTGGATAATTTCCAATTAATCGAATAATTGAGTTATTTACTTTATGATTAATTAACATTTTGAATAAACAATTAATCGCACAGCCCTAATGTATATTTTTCAATACACAAAAACATCTGGCTTGAAAAGTAAGTATTTTGGTTAAAATTCGTCTTTGAGTGTGCAAAGGTAAAATAGAGGGGATCTTAGTCTCCCACCAGTCTCCCACCAGTCACATTCATTCACATAATAGTTACAAAAACCTTGGAAATTGTTTGGTATTCTTTTGCAAGGAATTTTATACAGTAGTTATTTATCTATGTTAAAAAATATCTTTCACTGTTGTATAAGTTTCGACGACAGAGTCATTATTCATTCCGTTACCTAAAGGTGAAAAGGTGACAAATCCATTTTTTTTTGAAATTCGCACTATCTGTCATTCTGCATCAAAAACTAAATTAAAAAGTGGACTTGGCACCTTTTCCACTTTAGGTAGCGATGCATAATTCACCTATCACATTCTGGAGCAAAAAGTTCTACTGGTCACAATGGAATGGCCCATATGTAGATATTTGTGTGGAAATGCGTTTTTGTTGTTGAATTTAGCAGTAAATGTTTTTTTTTTGTTATTTAGTACCTTGCTGGAACGGATGTAGTTTGAACCGAAGGCGGAAGTTAGTTAACATTTTACGAGGGGTGATCTTTAACTAGGGATAACTGGTATTATAATGTTTCATAATTTTATGGTATTTTAATATTGCAGTGGCTAGCAAACAAATTGTGACGCGACATTTTAACAAGTTCTGAAGAATTTGCTGCATTAAAAGCGCAAGTCGTTCTCAATTCACGGTCCCTCTCTGCCTTCTCGAGAGCTCTCTAGATCTTGCACTTCCGGCAAATTTTCTTTATATCAGCTCAACTTCTGGTGGCGCACAGTGGAACATAACAATATAAGCTGCTTCCAAAAGAATTAACCGTACTACAAATTCGTTATATGCTCTATTCTGCACTTACGAATGTAGACATGTGTAAAAGTCGATCTACGGCCACGCCCACAGCTCTTCTAGGCTGAAATGGTTATCAGATTTGATGAAATTCAGATCATATGATGGTTTTAACCAGAAAGCATAAATCTAAAAGGGCGGGAAAATCGGTTAATATTACATCGTGCGACAAAAAAAAAAAGAAAACACGAAACAATGGGCCAAATATAGTAAAACTTCACTCTGAAGTCAGGATTTTTTTTAAAGGACTCTGAAATTTTAAAGACATGATTATGTCAAAAATAATTAAAAAAAAAGCGGAGGAATTTACAATAACAGTTAAGTGTTTTTGGTTACAAGGACGAATTAGTACCGAAACTGCGTTTTTAGTTAAATTTATTTTTTTAAATAAATAAAGTTAGAAGGATGAAATTCGAGGATGTGGTCGTGTGTATATAATATTATTATTTTTTCAAAAATGAATTATGCAAATTTTCAAGGATATTCTACAGACAGACATTTTCCCTTTTATTTCATACCTACATGATTATTCTGCATTGCACTGAAATTTTTTAATAATTTTTTGAATTAATCATATTTTTGAAATTTTAAAGCCCTTAACAAAAAATCCTGACGTCAGAGTGGAAAATTAAAAACGCAGTTTTACTGCCCATCTTTTTTTTGTGTGTGTAAAATTTACTGCCGCATGGTGTTATCGTCCATCAACTCTAAAAAAATTTATTTTGAAGAGTTCCCAATATGCCACTCCTGCAATCAATTTTTGTCTCTAAGTACTAAATTTTAGCAATTCTGGGGAAAATGAACAAACACATTCCCTATTTCTTCCTTTTAAAAATAACAAAACGAAAACAATTAAAATACCTGTATACTAAATTATGTGCATGGTATGTATTTGCACTGAAATCTTTAATTCCGCCTATATTTTACACAACAAAAGCTGCGCTAAGGCAAACAGGACTTTTATCCAAAGAAGCGTCCACTTTTAGATGCATGGTGAACTGAATAATGGATTAGCGAGTTATAAATATCTACACCTTCTTCCATTTACATTTTATATCGCATCTTACTTATTTATTTTATATAATATACATATTAGTGTGCTTTCCTTCAGCTATACAATAAAAATGCAATATATATTATCGAAGGTGTGTCTATAAAAAGACCAATATTGAGCTTCCAAAAATACTAAAAAATGTATATAAATAAAAAAAAATTTAATTAAAGAAATGTATTTACTTATGCCCTAAAAGGTATAGAAATCATTCAAAATGTTTACCTTAATTGGTTTATGTTCTAGTCTTAAGAGGTTGAGTGCGAGAAGTTTGAAGAATATAGCAAAGGGATAGCTGCTGTGTAGAAGTTTTCGTGTATATAAAGGATTTTTTTATTCTTTGCGGTAAGAAAAAATGCATTGTTAAGTGAAGATTGTATTGGAAGATCTTAAAGGTTTGTATTTGAATAACTCGCTCGGAATTTCACTGCAATGGAGTCACATAAAGATTTAGTATTCCAATGTTCCTTTTTTTACTTTTTATCTATCATTCCTCGCTGTAATATTATTTTAATAAAAGAATACGCTTGCTCAAAAGCTATGTAAAAAGTATCAACCTCCTATCTGACTACCAATTAGGCTGTGTTCAGGGTGCGATTTAGAAATTTTGCAATAATGCTTAAGTACTTAAAAAAAAAATACTTTTCAAAATAACACGTTTTTCATATCTTTTTGCTGCAAATTTTATCGCAAATCTCTACTAAGCGCTATGTCGCCAGCCTTTTCATGTCCATAGCTCGATTGTGCCGCAGAGCGTTTAAAAATGTATGATAAATAATAAATTTCTATGTACCTTTCGATTATTTCCGTGAGCTAAGCAAATTCAAAATAATCTTTAGCGGTTAGCTTATCGCTAACTGGATTTCCTACTAAATCAGCTCATGAACAATAAATTGATTTAAGGAAAATATGTATGTATGCACATTAGACTGCATCACTCCCTATACAAAAAAAAATCGGTACTGCTTTTACATTGGAATTATAAAATCCATTATATTTTAAGACGTCCACCAAAATATTTCGTAAAAATATTAAGATTTAAGCGGGCTGCACCGATTTGAAAGCACCTCCAAAAATATAGTGTTTTATGAATAAAAGTAGTTTCTTACGGATGTTTTTTGAAAAAATCCCCTCAAATGGAAAACGGTTTAAGCGAACGTCATTCAAAGTTGAATTAAGATGTGTTGGTATTTGAAAAAAAAAAGAATGGGACACGAATGACTTTTTTTGCACAGAAGTAAAAATAGTGAAAAAATACCTTTCTAATGAGATCAGAATAGTTTTGAAAAAAAAAGTAAAAAACAGCATCAAAAATCTCATTCCGTCGAAAAGATTTTTAAATATTTTTATGCATATTTTTTAAGCTTAATCTGTTTTGTCATCTGAGGGGACTTTTTCAAAAAGTTCTTTAAGAAACTATTTTTATTCATAAAAAACTTAATTTTTGGAGGTATTTTCAAATAGATCCAGCTCACGTAAATCTTAATATTTTCCGAAATATTTTGGTGGACTTCTTAAAATATAATAAATTTACAATCCCGGCGGAAAAACCGCAACTTTTTTTGGTGATGCAATAATAGGATTGCGATATTTTGACCAGTTTTAGCTATTTGTTTTTTGTTTATTTAATGCTTATATTTTTTTGTTTTTATAAAAGTCTAGCTGGTTATAAAACAAACACCATATAAATTTACATTTCAAACTTTGTACAAAAATTATAAAAATATAGCATGAGAAATGTTTGCCTAAAAGCAGAGGATTAATGTACATAACATAAAAAAAATTATAAGTGAGAAAAACTAAGTAATTTTATTGAGCTTGGATAAACAACGGAAGCAACGGAATAGCTGCGCTTGATTTAAGTTGGCTCACATGAAAATAGTGGAAAAAGCAACCACAGTTTATAAGGCGAACTTAGTACAGTGCGTAGGCAACTGGCTGAGTCAGCTGGGGTCGTTGGATCGATTCCCACTTCTACCATTTTTATAAATTATTGTTGTTTTTCCACAATAGTTTTTCATTAAAAACGGCCTCAAGCTCAATAAAATTGTTGAATATAATTGTTATAAGGCCATAAATAACAAAAACAAATAAAAACTTAGTAAAATAGATTTAACAGGATTTGAAAGAATTTCTCGTGCGATAAAAAGCCGCTGACTATTAACTAAACTACTTTTATTAACCCCATCTGTACATATGTACAAACATTTGTAAATACTTGTACTTGCAAAATATTTACATGGGAATATATGTATGCGTTCACATATCTTATCAATAAAAAATTTTACATACATACATATATTAATATGTATTAATATATCGGCGGAGACCCATTAATCAGCAATAACTGAAACCAACAACAAATTCGATAGAAAATTCCATATTTCGCTTTATCGGGGCGATCGGGTGAAAGTTATTAGCGTTTGGCCAGGAAACGGGTTGTAGAGAGGAGTATTTTCAGTAAATTCGTTGGTGCGTTTTGCGACCATAGTTCACAATCAGTATAGTTTTGCGTTTAGGTGAATAATGTTCGTATTGTTAGTATATAAACAAAGGGCAGGAAAAACGTTTACTAAAAAGCTTAAGGAAATCGATCATGTAACAAGATATTGAAAGCAATAATATTTTGAAAATAGTGCGCAAAAAAGTGTGTACACAAGAAGATAGTGAATATGGACAGCAGATTGTTTGAATGAAAATAATATAAAATAAAAGTTTGCAAAAAGAAATATGTACTTTTTATTAAGCGTTTATTTTGCAAACAAATTTGTATACATACATTTATATCGTTGAAGATGCCATTTGTTTCGAAAATGCATTCTACTCCTATTTTTCGTACGCTACGCCAGCTAATAATAGATTAATAATTGAAATATTTTCACATCTTTGTTTCCTATTTTCGAAATTTTTAAATGAAAATTAAAAACAAAAAATCAAAAATCTAATCTTTGATATTTTTCAAAATGTCTCTCCATAGTTAAATTCTTTTTTAAGGCATCTTTAAAGAAAAAATCCAAACTAAAATATTTGTAAAATTGTTTTGGTATAAAATCATAACATAATACCACATTCGGCACGCATAGTACATAAATTACCACAGAATGGCACAAATTCGACCATTGGCACCCGAATTGGCTGCGGTGGCCGCTGCCGAACTCAACGAAGTGGAATCACGTATTGCCGGTGATATTGTCGAACTGCGTCAGTGGATCGAAGAACAACCGTACTTAACAACGCGCACTGATGACCAATTCCTTGTGGGCTTCCTGCGTTTCTGCAAATACAATATGGATGACACAAAGAAACGCATCGAGTACTATTACACATACAAATCAACAGCCGGTGATTTTCTGAAGAGCCGACGCATTGACGATAAAGTTTATGGCATCTGCCGTGCGGGGTGAGCTCATGTGATTTTGATATTGTAATAAAAGAAAAACTCCATTTATTGCTTATCTCCCACAGCATATTCGCAACACTTCCGAAGCCGGTGGGTCCGGGCGGTCCACGCATACACTTCACACGCATGGGCCAAATTGATACTTCACTCTATACGGCCAAAGATATCTTCCGTTTCATAATGTTCCGCTCAGAAATTGAGGCCAACACCGATGATAATTGGATTATTAGTGGTGTATTGGAGATAATTGATTTCTCTAAAATTCCATATGCGTTATTGCGTCAATTCGAACCGAATTTATTTAAAAAAATGGCCGCATTCTTAGAATACGGCGTGCCAACCAATCTAGTAGGAACACACATCGTAAATGCTTCCATGGATGCGCAAATTATATTGAATTTAGTGCGTCTCGTTATGAAACAAAAAGAATTGGTGAGTTCGAGTTGAAAGTGAGCGTGAAATAGGCTGTAACTAATGGTGGTATGGAGCGAGGTAGGATAGTGTGATAAGCTTTCAAGCTTGGTGATAGACATACCAATTGGATGGGGTAAATGTTGTGGTTGAAGAGATTTCACAACGCAAAGAGGAGAAATCTGGCAAGAGGTTTTGATGCATTCGATAATTTTTCCAATAGTTTTTCATGTTATTGTAATGAACAAAAATACTCGGCTTACCGCTTTGTCATTAGTAGGGTTCGGAATTTCATGCACTAAAAAATCGGAAAATATGCGCATATAATATGCACTCAAAAATCAAAAACATTCGCTATAAACAATTCGAAATGCAATTAAAAATGTTTTGCTAATATTTTATTGCCGGTACAAAAATAAATAATACATGCATTTTAATAAGAAAATAACGAAAACAATTCATTTCAAACTACAAAAAAATATTCATGTGTGAAATTTACTTATAATCAAGGAGACAGTTACAATCTGGTGTTAAGCTTAGTATCGAGCTTTCAAGAAAAGCCAGAACTCCGTATAAATAACGGTGAAGAAATGGTGAAAAATTTTCTCGTGGCAAATTTCCTTAAGACAGTATGGGGTTTCCCAAGAAATTTGCTACGCCTTCTACTACGGTTTTCTAAAGTTTTCAAAATTTGTTTGTAAACAAGGAACACAAGGCAACCATCTTTTCAACAGAAATATATGCCCGTTCCATTCTTTCCTGAAGAAAGAGTGAGACAGCAGGCTGTGAAATATCAGATGTCAAAATTCCTTGGACACAAACGAAATAATGGCAATTTTTCTTGACAGTTTTCTAAGGAGCTGGATTCTTAGCTTAAATAGGAACATTGACAGTGGTTTAGATAAATATTTGGAAAAAATTATAGGTATTTTTTTTTGTCAAGTGATGTCGCACTAAATTTAAGTGGTTGTAAATCAGACAAAGCAAAAATATGCAAACTCCACATGCATTTATTGTAAAATATACTAAAAAATGCGCAAAAAATATGCAAAAACAGAGATTTTTTTGCAAAATATGCAAAACCATGCATTTACTGCAAAATATGCGCTAACGTTTGAATGTAAGTTTAAAGGAAATTCCATGATATGTAAAAATAACTTAAACATTTACATCTGAAGATGTCCAATAAAAACATGCATTTGCATGAGATTCCTAGCCCTAAGCTAATGATGTTGACTATCACCATGTTTATGCTTTTTTTCTACACGGTTATATTTTACTCGGGTAAATTCAACCCACATGCATAAAAATTTTTTTTGTCGAGTTAACAAGTCCACTCGGCTAAAATATTTACATATTTCTATACCGGTAGAAATCTTAACATGGGTTGAAATTTGTACATAAACGATTTTAGAAGTGTTGGCCAGGCTTGCATTAGGTTTTATAACTTGAGTTGACAGTTTATTCTTGTTGGCTCTCTCTACCCGAGTTGAATATAACCGAGTAGAAAGAAGTATATGTTGTGGCAGTGATTTTTCAAATATCATTCCTCTAGAAAGAAAGATAATTCCTCCATAGTCTCCTTTGAGGAATATAAAAATAAATGCACTCAAGAAGGAAAATGAGTTAATCACTATACTTACTATGTCAAACTGAAACGAGAGTGAAAGCTTAATCCTCCTACTACGTAAAGCTTTTAAATTAATTAGTAAGCATCTAGCGTTATATGAAGGAATGGGATCCTCGACATTCAAAGCTCCAAGAGCAAAACGAACAAAAGTTTTTTGAACGCGTTGAAGCATTTTAATATGGAAACCACGATATGGCCTTCATATAAATGCTGCATATTCCAGCTTAGATCGGACGAGAGCAGTGTATAGGTACTTTAAAGTTAAGCATCAGCAAAGTCTTAAAAAAAACCTTCAAATGAAGGCTATTATAGAATAAGTTTTGGCAATAATTGAATAAAAAACAACTTCAAGATCTGGAATTTCGTTAAGAGTAGTTTGACATGAGTTACTAATAAATAAGAAGTAGAGATAAAATATCGAGGTTTACAGAAAGAAAAAAAATGAAAAAAATAAACTTTAACAGAAGAAGAATTAAAACAATTGCAGGTTCTGTGCCAAATTTTTGCATTTGTACTAAAGCCTGTGTTGTTACAAAAAAATCAAGTTACTGATGAAGAAAATCGATGGATGAATACGAAATAATCAATGGTTAAATGGAAATGCGCAAAATTTTTTGTATGAAATATGAACAGGTGTACGTGGCGTATGAGTAACTTTCTTTCCTGCTCATTTTTCATACAAAAATCTTTGCGTATTTTCATTTGACCACTCCTTATTTCTTATTTATCCATCGATTTTCTTCATTAGTAATTTGATTTTTTTTTTGTAACAGAACAGGAAAAATTCAAATGCAAAAATTTGGCACAGAACCTGTTTTTTTTAATTTTTCTTCTGTTTTTTTTTTAATTTTTCCATTAAACAATAAAAAAAAGCTGGAATGATTAATTAATTTGTCAGAAATTATAAGCCCTATCGGAAAGTGATCTATATACGGTTTATGGAGAATTTTGTATTAAGATTTTTAAATTGCTTCGTAAGATATACGTGATTAAAAGGAACCAATTTTTGCTTTAAGCTGAATAATGGTAAATTGAAAGTATCTCGAAAACGTATCCATAGCAAAAAAATAAATCGATTTTCGGAATCACCGAGCAATTCTCCATACGAATTGGATAGTGGCATCCATAGAACATTTTTGCTGTAAGCGTAGTTATATGAGAAACACCGGACTAGGCAATAAAGAATGAGAAGAGGTGTTGTAGTAGACAACAACAGCACATTTTCTACCCAATTTGAGAAAACTGAGTGAAACCGTATCTATGTAGTGTGGAGACTAAAATTGAATGACTGAATATGTCGAATGCCTTCGACAGGTCAGTGTACAGTGTCGACCTGAAGACGATTTTTGAAATCGGGCATACAAAATTCTGAGGAAACAGCTACATACATACATTCGTAATTGCCGATGCTTGTTGCAAGAGATTTAAGGCTTTACTGCAAAATATAGTGCCTCCTGTACAATGTATTCAAATAATTTTGAAATCGCGGCTAGTTTGGAGATATGACCATAGTTGGCAACGTCATTCTTTTTACCACTTTGGTATGTAGGGGTAAAATAAGTAACTTTCAAGCGTCTATAAACTTCACAACTTTAAGGCCATGGATGCTTTGTATTAATATGTTCAAGAATATATGTAGTAACATATCACACTCGCGATATTTAAAAATTGTAAGCATGAACTTAAATTTACTTCAGAATACTTAGGCAAGCTTTTAGAAGTTTCCAGCTAAACAGCTGTAAAATAAAGTTGTACATGTTTAATGTAAAATAAGTAAATTTATAAATTCCACTTCTACTTTACTATTCCGCGCACAGCTCCACATACACTCATCGCTGGAGTCACTGCATAAAGCCATTGGTAAGGAGTACCTGCCTGTCGAATATGGTGGCACTAATGGCACCTATGAAGAGGCTATGACACATTTCGAACAACAGCTCAATGAATTTAGCGACTATTTCGATGAGGATGAAAAGTATGGCGTTGATGAGAAATTGCGAGAAATTCAGCCTGCTGTTGGAACAGTAGCTGCTAAAGAGACGCCACCTTCACCAGCATCGCCGCCATCGCCTAAATGTGTGAGTGTACCTGAAGGGTCCTTTCGTAAATTGAATATCGATTAAAGTAAAGAAGAAAATTTTGTTTGCAAAATAAGAGTAATTAACAAAACAAAACTGCTATATAAAAAACTAAGTGCGATATAAAAAAAAATTAACTAAGGTGTAGCAGCAGAAAAAAAAAATAATATTAACAACAGTATGAAACAGCCGACTCTGGCTGCGGCGTAAATAAATATTAAACTATTTTGCGTTCTTCTGTGCGTTCGTTTAATAAGTAAAAAACAACAACAAACTAACACAAGTAAATCAACTACTGCGTTAATATTCAAACAAAAATATTAAATGAGAATATTAGTGTTATTTAGTGACATATTTATACCTGAGTTTTCATACAAAGAAAAAAAAGAAGAAAACAGCCGAATTAATATACACATACAACAACCAGGTTTTACGAAAATTTAATAGTAAAATGTTATGAAAACCACAGTACACGGACACTGAAAAGCAAAAAAGCAATAGCAACTATTGCAATCATTTACTTAATTTTAGTGTTGGCATTTGAGTACACGACCTAAACTAAAATAAAGTTTTAGTATAGAGTATATACTACATAAATACATATACATCAAATGTATATGTAGCATAAATAGAGAGAAACTATATATACATGCATACACTCGTACATACACGTCTGTACATACATCCATTGTCTAAAGGCTTCATTTATACATATTAGTCATATGTAAACATTTATTTTTGGGAACGATTTTTTGTGAATGTTCATATAAACATACTTATGTATATGGATACACGCATATGTATGTGTTTAGTGCAAAGCGCTAAGGATATGGTGACGCTTTTTGGAAAAATGGGGAAACGAAATTTCTTGTGAAATTGAAATTTATGAGCAGCAAAAAAGTAATACATTCATAGTTATATACATACATATATACATATGTATGCGTATAATTAATATAACTACATATACATATAAACTTATATATACACCAAATAGAAATTTAAAATTTCCGCATTGTAAATCACTCATTGTAGATACATACATAAATATTTACATAAAATATGTATATATCTATAAATATATATATACATACGAGTACACGCATATTTACTGTGGTGTGTTAAGCATTACCATTTTAAGTGAAACTAAAATTGAAAATATTAATTGTATTAAATTACATACTCGAATTCCATTTTATGTGTGAAAATTCTTGTGAAATCACTCGTAAGCATTTAATTGTTAAACGTGTTCCGAATATTGCCTGTGAAAACCAAAAACAATGTACCATTGAGATTTTTGACTAAACTGAATATATATGTATTTGTTTTGGAATTTAGGTACAATTAATTGTTAAATTTCATTTAAGCCCATAAACCATTTTCATTTCACTACTGGTAAAAAGATTTATTATAATTGAAACATATAATCAGGTTTCTTATAAGTTTGCCTTAGATGGTGTAATTTGTTAATCATTTTAAAATATACATACATACATACGTATTTAAGAAAATTATTCATTAAAAATTTATCATTTGAATTTACAATGCTCTAAGCGCTATTGGTGTATTAAAAATATATATATTTCATATATAATTTTATCATTTAAGTCGAAGTTTTGTTGCAGTTCATTTAAATTTCAATCGCACTAACAAGCGAATAATTAATGGGCTTATTAAATATATTTTACGAGTTTAAGTTTATTTTTTTATTTTTTAACGTATTTTGGTATTACTTATATATATTTCACACTTGAGATTTTTAACCGTCCTTTCCATGAGCAAGGAGCCATTACCCATTGTTTATTTTTTATTTTTTGAATGCTTCTGAACCGTAATTGTATCTGCGCAATAAGAACATTTACAGCGTCAAAGCAGCTACGCAATTTTTTTCCAACATATATATATATATATATATTTTTTTTTATAATTTTCCGGATTCAGCTTCAGTTACATTCTATAAGATAGTTTAAAACGGTATCTTAAAGGATATGCGATTTCTTAGCCTTGCAATAGTTACGCAATATCCTTTTAAACACATCAAAATTCCATCTTAGTGCTATTTGTAATGCTAACGCCAATTGTATTTCTTCATATTCGCAGTGTAACTCGCTGATATATCGTAGTTGCATTACTTTTAGTCATAGTTTCTACAAGCTTGGAACACCATGAAAATTTTGAGGGCTAAATACATTAGTAAGAAATAACACACCTTGGAGCTTCTGTATTCTTTCGTAGAATAACTTACGGCTATCATACAAATTTATTGCACTAGAAACAAATTTGCGAGCGATTATTTTTTTTAAGCTCTAGTTTTTATTGCAAGTATTTTCTTGAAATTATATTAAAAAAAAACATCGGCAATTAAGAGAGTAAAGTATACACTACCCTTAAGCATTGAATCAGTGCTCGAAAATTCCAACACACCGATGTGCGTAGGTCGGTAAAAAAAATGTTTACTACATAAGAACTGTAACTTTAGCAGCAATTTTCTGCAAAAATGGTGCGGTAAAGAATTAAATTGGTACATAGAGAATTATATTTGTTATCCCCAATTGACGTAGTCAAAAAGAGAACTAAAAATATGTTTTACGTACCCCGAAAATGCAGTTATTTTATGTTTTTTTTTTGTAAACATTTCAAAATTGCATCATTTTTTCACTATAGTTTGAAGGAAAAGTGATCCGAGTTCAACATACAATTCGAAGCTACAGCAAGGTGCTCCAAATTGTAGAAACATCAAACATTTTCAACTCTGCCAATTTGTCTTTATTATACACAAACGGTAATCGCCGAATTGTAGCCATTTATCACCTTTGAGACATATTTTATTAAATAGCTAAGTAAATATATTTGTGTTTGTCCACTTCTGTTCTCACGGCCTCATATGTATGTATGTATATATGTACATATATTTAACTTTTATGTATATATGTACATATATTTAACTTTTTTATTTTGTCAGCTGAACAGTTATTAATTATTTCAAAAATCACATTGCATTTACATACTTATCATGATATAGTAAGATTTATAACGCTCATAAAATACAACTGTCAATCACCTATGTATTTATTAATGTATTAGGCGCGCCATAAATGCATTGAGTAAGTAATCTTAACTAATCTAAATTCAGTTCATTCAAATTATATTATACCCGTTATTATCAGCGATTAACGACTGCAGGCAGACTATTTTAAATACAAAGTATTTGCTATACGTAACCTTTTCAAAATAAAAATAGCAAAAGTACAAAAAGGTAGAAAAAATCCGCCGTTAACGCAATTACGGTTCAGAAAGTTCTGGAAAGAAGCTCAGTTTACTTAATTTTATGCCGTACAACAAAATTAAAATTTCTTAAGTATTTTGTAGTTAACATTACATAGTACATATGTATATCTATTTCTTAGTTCTTTAAACATTGAATTTCTTAATTTTTGCCTTTACGTTGTTGTATGCAATAAATAAGCATAACTTTATTTTCCTTATACAAATTTGATTCGCATTTAAATTAGCATTATCCTATGGCTATTTCTACAAAATTATACCTAACAAAATTTGATATAGCAATTATCCCCAATCATTTCCCTGACATACTTTAATTATCAATTTACATTATTTATTTTCAGAAATCTTCCTTCAATATATGGAACTTATTAAGTTCATAAAAATTATCATTCAAACACTATAATTACCTAATAATAAACAAAAAATTGGAAAATATATTACAATTTTAAAACAATGCCTTATTTATTAAAGAAAGGAGACCTTGCAAAAAAAAAACACAAATAATGTATGTTGTGGCCATTGAGAATAAAAATGAACTGAAATTTTGCACAAAAGAAATTAGCCACAGGTAAGTAAACACAATTACACATTTTAATTACATAAGTGTATTCTCTGTAAAATCTATGCTTAGTGTACGTGACGTACACGCAGTAAGCGAAGCCAAGCCGAGCGGAACTATTCCGTGCGGAACAAAGCTTTCAAATTGCTTTACCAATATTTTTTCGCTCAAAAAATTCGACTTACCCATTAGGCCCATGAAAATGTATACTTAAATGATCAGAACGTCGAGCTCAGCCGATTTAATCATGTCCGTTTGTTTGTCCGCAATCTAGTCTTCAGTTTTCGAGATATCCCGACTGAAATTTGGTAAGCGGGTGTATTTTTATAATGTATTAATCATTTGTAGGAACCGGAAATATCGGACCACTATAACATATACATATGTATGTAGCTCCCATACAACTGATTGTTCAGATGTGAGATTTTTGGTTATAACTCCACCGTTTATGCAGCTAGGAACATGAAAAAGAAATGGTTTTAACCAATTTTTTCTACAGTCGGGGTGATGAAATCCTTCACTTTAGAGAGCGTATATTTTCTTTTTCAACAGTAATTTTACTGCTGAAATGAAGTGTTTTGGTATCTAGTCAATCGATTCATTGCTCAAGTAAGCTGCTCCACTCGGAACTGCAACGCTTCCTGTATGTACAACAACTTAAAAATGTTAATCAGAAAAACTCTCCCAGTCGCCCAAATTAGAAAAAAAGGCCACCTTCGATATACTTTCGATTGTTTACTCCTAGTTTAAAGCCTTTCGATTCAGACTCTCTTACGCCACGGTTACTATGGCTACGTATTCTGACGAATCCTGTTTTGTAATGAGAGTGGTTTGCTTGGGTGCGAATTGCTCGTCTTGGATTCGATGAATAATGAAAACTATCGCCAGAGATATTTCTCAGCAGAAGTGGAAGAATCTCGCTCAAAAAGACCAACTCTTTAGAAGCAAGTAATGTAGTCGTAACCTTAGAAGGAGACACTTCGTGAAATTAAAATTACTCAGTACAAATTTAACTTTGCTCCAGATTTTCACCGACAAGTCTCCACTGCGATTGTTTCCTTTATTTGTCTACCATTGCTCAGGAAACACTCCCCGTCAGCCTAGCCTTCTCGAATGGCAGGGCTATGGGAAGATTTAATATCGCTTGCAAAGAGATGGTCCCCATTTTGCCGACTGAGGTACGCTTAAAAATATTTTTCACAAACGTTTTGATACTACAGCAAAAGTTGTGAAATTTTCGAAATAAAAGTATCCCGATTTTAGATTTTAGTAGAAATATTGAAATTTTTTTTTGAGTTGTTATAAAATTTTATAAAGACTTACAGCCAGATTCATAAAAAATAAAAAAGGCTTTAACTGCTTTATAAATCGAAAGTTTGTATGAAAATATCACTTTATAGAGCCCTTTAAATCGATTTAATTTTTTATGAATAAGGCCATTAACTTTTCATTACACTGGTTTTTAATACCCACAGATTTTTTGATGTAGATTTCAAATGGGATTAAGTCTTAAGTAAGTAATCTACCAACTTCTGTACTAAGCTGAATTTTTATAGAAAATCGGTTAGGACCTTTCTATATTACTGATTCATTTTAAAATATTTTTAATATAAGAATAAAAGTTATAATGCTAAATCTTGACATTTCCATGCTTTGGTTACGAATTTGAACCAAGGTTTTACGCTTGAAAGTTTAGTTTTTGGAAAATTGTTTGTTGGTTCACCGACAGGGTAATATTTAGGACTGCCAATTTGGCTCAAGCTGTGCCATTTTCGGCCCTAAATATTTTACTTCAATTGGCACTTAATTTTTCAGCTTGCCACAAAATGTCAAAAAGGCACTTTTGAAAAATAGTAATATTTCAATTAATTTTTGTGAAATCCTTTGGCACTTCAAAGCTAAGTATAGTTGGCAGTCCTGGTAATACTATGATCAGCGCCAAAAGGTTTAAGCCTATGCTTGAAATTGCTTATTTTGCTTATTCAGGGTTTCCAAGCTTAATTTTAACGATCATGCTTATTTCGCTTATTTTAATGTATGAAGCTAAGTACAGACCTTTTAAGTAAACCTTCAAGAAATAAATTGCTATTATTTCATGTGTGTGAATAGTAGTGTCCAAGGAGTTTTGACATCTGATATTTTACTGCCTGCTGTCTCACTTTTTCCTTACGAAATAATGTAATGGACATATATTTCCGTTGAAAACAAGGGTGCCTTGTACTCTTCACAAACAAACTTAAGCAAACCATAGTAGAAAGCGCAGCAATTTTTTTAAGAACTGGGTACTACTTAAGAAAATTTGGCTCAATAAATTTTTCTTGACCATTTCTTGGGCGTTTTTTTATTCGTCGAATTGAAGAAATGTTTACAAATAATAACATAATAACAGATTTGGTTTTTATTAACCCGTAACTTCATTTGCATACAAAAATTTAAAACTAGTGGTTCGTCTCTTCGGGAAGGCATTGGTGTTGTAGAAGAGGTCAATAACGACCCGTGCAGATCTCTATTATTTGAGAATATCAAGCAACACTTGATTGTCAATTCTAATTTTTCAATCCTTGAAATAAACTGAATAGGTAACTTTTTTTTTTGAATCCTAAGACCTTTGAGAGGTGTTCTTTATGACGTCATGTACAACTTGCTATGCTGAATTCTCAAAGAACGTTAAAAATATTTAGTTTTTATATTTTTTAAATTGTATTTGATAGTATTGTTTCATTTGCAGCGATCCGGCAACACTTGGTATTTAAACTGTACCCATTTACTAAGCTTTTTACTTTAGACCGCACCAAAAGCGCGCGACTAAAAAGCTTTTAGTTTTAGCTAGCGCAAGGCAAGCAAAACAAATAAAAAAACATACAAAAAAAACCAAGCACATAAACAAGACAAAATAGATTTATAAAAAAATGCAATGCCCAAACAAATGAGATAACAAAGCGAAATTTGTGAGATTAGCAGCGAACATCACACTGGTTTCAGAGAACTTTGAACTTAGCAGCCTCCAAGTGTTTACCACCGATGAACACATTTTGTATGCATATCCTAAGTAAGCATTAAGTTATATTGTACGCAATGGCTAAGTTCAAGTTTTACTATGATTTGATGTCACAACCATCGCGTGCCCTTTGGATTGCATTGCGGCTGGGTAAGATTCCACATGAGGATTGTCCGGTAGCATTGCGAAAGTGTAAGTAAAATATTTCTTTTGTTGCGTGAAACTAAAAGTTAAAATTTTATCAACATATTTTTATGTATTCGCTTTATTTGAAAATTGTAGCGGAGCATCTCAAACCAGAGTACAAAGAAATTAATCGCTTTCAAAAAGTGCCGGCAATAGTGGATGAAGATTTTCATCTGGGCGAGAGTGTGGCGATCGTAAGGTGAGTGGTAGGAATAATGAAGTTATGAAATAAGGAATGATCCAGCCCTTCAGAATGCAGATTAGCAAGTAGTGTTGTTGTTGTAGGCGCAACTTAACCTTGCCTAGAGTCGGAAAATCCTTAAATCATTGACGCCAAGCTCAACTAATGTTAAGCCCAGGGAGCGTGCTGTTTCTGTGGTGTCTTACCAAAGGGAAAGGGGTGTTACTGAAGTTAGGTTGGGTGGGCATGTGGAGAGGTGGTTGGTGGATAGGTAGAAATGCCACCTGTTACAGCATCCATACTGCAATTGTGACAGAGTAGAAGTGTTGGTTGGAAGTTGCGGTCGGTCAATAATAGGCAGCACAAAACTATCATTCTGGAGGTAACGCTTGAAGGATTAATATCCAGCAAAGGTGGCATGGCAGAGTAAAAAAGATTATTGTTTGTTTATTTGTTGCAACAGCATAAAAATTCCCCAAATAGGTTTGTGGATTGTTGCTATGGATTTCCAACTGCTGTAGTATTTTTTTTTAACATTAAATAATATATTTAATAGAGAAAATGTATTAAAATCTTGCTAATTCTATATTTTTTGTCTTCTAGGTATCTTTCCGATAAGGGTAAATTCAGTGAAGCACTCTATCCCAAAGCACTGCAGCATCGAGCGCGTGTCGATGAATTTCTAGAATGGCAGCATCTAGGTGTACGCTTTGGTTGTACTTCGTACTTTCTCGATATGTGGCTATTTCCTATCAGTGGCATAAAGCCTAAGCCTAGCGCCGAGAAAGCAGCTATGTTATGCAAAAACATGGAAACACAACTTAAAATTTTGGAGGAGATTTGGTTGAAGGACAACAACTTTGTGGTGGAAAATGAAATAACTGTGGCCGATTTGTTCGGTTGCTGTGAAGTTGAACAGATAAGTAAGCGCACGTGAAGTTGTAATGAAAATTAAAAATGTAATAATACATTTTCTTATTTTTGTAGAACTGACACAATACGATGTCGGTAAGAAATTTCCAAAAACTGCCGAGTGGATGCAACGTGTGCGTGCGCAGGCAAATCCACACTATGATGCTGCACACGCATTTATCTACAAGAAATCTGGCTTGAATTGATGTGAATTTTTGTAAATAGGTATAAAATTTAAATGATTTAAATTGTAGAAAAGTTGTTTAAAATATGTTTAGTCATCGCTTGTGGCTTAGTAATATTTAGATAAATTTTACTACTACTAATTTCACATGAAATATTATTGTACCGTTGTTATGATATATGTTACTTTAAGTAGATATGGAAATTCTTTAGAGCTTGGGTGAGGCCACTCCGCCTTATTAGTTTTGCCACTGAAATAAAATAAATCTTCGGGGCGTCGTCTTAATGCGATGGCTGATGCTCCTCCAAAATAAATATTTTTCAAATTAATTACTGCAATTTAATAAGTTATACATTCTGAAACTTCTACTACCTTTTATTGACATTACTATGCAGTTTCTTTCTTATTTTTGAAACAAATATTCTTTGTATTATACAAACACATATTCTTTGTATTAAACAAACACATATTCTTTGTATTATACAAGCACATATTCTTTGTATTATACAAACACATACATCTTTTATTTATAAATACTGATAATTTCTCCTAAAGAATTAAGAAAAAACTAAAATCTCCTTTTTACTAACTTATCTTGTATCAAAACATTAGTCAATATCCAATTTTCTAAATGAACCATCAATGCCGAATAACGATTCGGAGTTCACGGGACTGCCTCGCCTTAATTTCTCATTTGTGCCATATTTCGCTTCCTCTTCGAAATATTCCTTATAGCTAAGCACTTTCTTTTCCCATGTGTTGATGCCGTCCTCCAGCGTGCCATTGCTACCGCCATACTCAGCAGGCAGAGACTCTTTTGGTATGTGCTTGTAGAGAGACTCTAAATTGGGGTGCATATGGAACTGTTGGAGTAGATATGCATAATTTAAATAATAGTATACGAATATTCACATATATACGTAGTTTTTTTTTCATTTTCTACTTACACGCTTTTTAATTTTTTCGCTCATCATACTCTTTGCAATGTTCATAACCTTTTCACAGCTTGAAGGAGTGTTGATAAAATGAAAACCCTTAGGACGATATGGCCAAGCTTTATCGCCTAGTACGGCGACTTTTTTAACCAATACCGCATTGAATTGGAAAATGTGTGCAGCACCGATACCTTTGAAATCTATCACCTCCATGAAACCCATAATCATGGCATTATCATCTTCACGAAATTGTATTTCACCAAGCATTGTGCGCACCTTAATAACATCACTCATCGAATATTTACTGCTGTCGTAAACGCCATAGCGTGCCAAATGAATACGTGGGCCATCCGGAGCGATTGGTTTGGGCAGAGGTAAGTAGACGCTGTAATTTGAGATTTGGTTAATGTATTAGTATGTATATATGTACTTATATAAAAATATTATAGTGCTGATTATCGGAAAAAGCTATCATAAAAACAAAAAAAGGATTCATATAAACACGTAAATGCGTCGTAACCACGTACGACGAGGTCTACGCGTTTACGAGGCATTTAAGCGGTTCATTGTGTTCTCCAGCAAAATAAATAATTTTAATGGCTATAAAATCGCCTTTCCTGTAGCGCACCGGACCGCACGTAGAGCGCTTCTACAACTTAAAACGCATTTTTCTCGAAAACACTTTTTTCAAATTGGGCGAAAACGCTACGCCAGACTACTGCACAGATCGACTTTAAATTTTAACAGTAGCTTCAGTAGTAGTAGTAGTTTATTTAGAGATGTACGTAGCCGTTTTTTGAAATTTTTGGTAAGCAATTTACGGCTGATTTCTTTGCAAAAATTCGACCTTTTGTTTTTCAAAAGTTCACCATTTCACGAGAATTAAATAAACGAAAAATCTTATGTACTCCTATAGCAAATAGTAGGAAGAGTAATAATCTTTTGTTTTTTTCCAGGTATTATACTTTTCGAGAAATGTTTTCGCCCGTTTTGGTATTAAAAATAGGCGATTTAGTAGATCGGCTGTATAGCCGCCATGTTGTATCTAATTGCTAATAAAAGAATTACCTTTAGGTATACACTCCCATGCACTTGAATAGGAACAGAGCTTTTTTGGTTATTTTTCTTTTATTTAGTTCTGATTATTTTTCAATTAAAGTCCATTCCCTAACAAAAACCATATAAACCAAGTTTCAAAAGTCATACAATTTTCAGCAAAATTTCAAACCCTTTGCAAGTTTGAAGTAGCTAGAAATTACCATTGGAAAAAATGCAGGCATGCGCCATATGGCATTAAGATTGCGAAAGAGCGTCAATAAAAAAATTCTCAAAAATTAACGACAATTTGTAGCTACTTCAAACTTGCACTTGATTTCACTAAAATTGAACGGGCTACATACTGAAAAAAATCTAAAAATTCTAAGAAAAAAGTTCAAATTTTTTAAGGAAATTTGTTGCATTTTTTATTTTCTACAAATTTTGAAACTTGCGTTTATACAGAGAATGCAGTTTTTATTAATTCAAAAATAATGGAAATAAAATAATAGAAAAATAACCCAGAAAAGAGTGAGAAAGTATTGTCCATAATCACGTGCATATGCATATCTGCGGTATTTTGATAAAATAACTTAAGTGACTTTAGAAGGTTTGGCTTTGGATTAAAAAAGAATAAGTTTCCCATAAAAAATTTAAAATTTTTTATTAAACTTTTATTAAAAGTTAATCGTCAAAATATTGTTTGGGAACCCAATGAAATATTGCTCTAAAGGGAAGATGGCCACACTCGAGATAAGAAGCTTTAACCAAATAAGAGCTTAAACAGACGGCAACGTTGATCCGGATCAACTCGGGAATTAACTGCAGTTGATCCGGATTAAGTCCCAGTTAATCCCGATCAACGCTGCCGTCTGTTTAAGCTTTAACACAGATATGTACATAGGTATTCTGAAAGTCTAATTTTCAATCCCACTAGAATTTGCTATACTCACCCTGATCGCAGAATGTCAATTGCTGCATCATTAACAAAACGATCCTTATACAATTCCGGCACAGCGCCACGCATTGCATAGTAGCTATCGAGCTTATGTTTCGCCTTCTCCACACTATATTTGCAACCGCGCAGAAATGCTACCAGAAATTGATCATCTGTGCGGGCGTTAAGATGTGGCTGTTTCAAAACCCAATCGCGTAATTGTTGTATATCAGCATCGATACGTTCGGGTACCTCACCCAACTCCTTCTGAGCACGTTTAGCTAGCTCTGGCGTTAATTGTCGTATGTTGGTCATGTTTTTTTTTATTATTTTTTATTTGTTTTTATTTATTTTTTATTTATTTTTAGTGTTTATAACTTTAAAACCTATGACTTTGCGTACTCGAAATTATCTGAAATGAAAAAATGGAATATACTTTATATTATTTTTAACATCAAAACTTTATTAATTTAGATACTGTTTTTGCTTCACTAACGAACGCCTTTACTCGTGCGATAACTAAATTTGTAGCCTTGCCGTCTAAATAATTAAAAGCTGATTAGATTGCCCACTGCAATTTTTTTGCTGGTTTGCATAAACTTTAGGTTTTTTTGTTTGCTTTACTCTCTTTTTATATTTCTACCTGTTTATATATTTTTTTTTAGTTGATAGTTGAAAAGTTTTTCTTTTTTTGCTAAAATGTCTTTAATAACTCAAGATAGGTGTACTCATATTTTGCAATACATTGCCTTCTACTAAGCTTCAAATGTTTTATTAGCCATTTATGAATTTGATTGCATTTACACAATCGTAAAAAATATGTATCCACGTGCATGCATATGTACGTTCATTTAGGTGCATTCATATGTACATATGTATGTATGTATATTCAAAGTAGGTATGTTTCGAATGTCATATTTTTCGCATTGGCGAATGCGAATGCGAATTTTCGGAATGCGAATGTGAATGTTGGGAATAGCATTAAAAAAGCTATAATCAACTTAAGTCAACGTTTTTATTACTTAAACATTTTGTAAATTATTAGAACATTGAACGAGTGCTTAACCTATATGTATTTACAGTATTTTTATTACTTAAAATTTTTGTAAATTATTACAACATTGAACGAGTGCTTAACCTATACAGTGTTTTAATCTAATAGTCAATAGCCTTTTCTCCCGAGAGGCGATTTCTTAGAGGCTCATATATCAGGCCGGCTGCACTGAACAATTGCTCACTTGGAACGCTGGCGGGTGGAGCGCTCAAATATTTGCAGGCCAGATTTGTCAATTTGTGAAATTTTAGTTTAGTTTTCAACCAATCGAAAGGATTTTCACCGAGATGAGCTCGTTTTTCTCTAAGATAGGCCTTCAATTGTTCTTTAATTTCACATTTTTTTATGTCACCAGATTCTGCATCCGAGCCTTCGCTTTCGCTGGAGGAATCTAAAATTATTTCTAGGTTGCTTATAATACTTTTAGCAGTACTTGTTGAAGGCCCATCGATGTCGCTTGATAATAGTACTAAACCGTTAGCGCCTGAAACTAAAAGCCGGTTATTGTCCGCACCCTGATTAGACAGACTTAGAGCCATTTCAACAATATTAGAGTGGACTCTCTGCCCATGTACACAGTCGCATTCGCAAAACATTCATATCATTTGATGCGAATGCTAATGTCGAATGCGAATGTGTAAAATTATGCGAATCATTCGCATAACGAATGCGAATGCAAATATTCGCAACATCCCTGATTCAAAGGTATAAATACATGTATGTATGTATTTCATTTTGCCGTTTATCTTTATTGAATTATGAATTGCCTTTGAAAGAGATTGTCTGAAGTTGTCTATAGAAAATATGAGTGTAAAAGGATTAGATAGAGTGGGATTATCGCATTTTGTACATTCAACTGTCACACACAGAATGCAAAAAAAAATCGTTACGACTTCCCCAAAGAGAATCAAAAATTTGGCTTGACCAATATGTAAACCGAAATATTTTAGTATTAGTCCTACCAACTTTAACTATTTCTTCTGTAGTATATAACTGAGTTCATTTCCATCGCTAAAATTTACAGTGTTTATTTCCTACCTACAAATGTGTGTATGTGTGCGTAATATTTAAAGCAATTAGTGAAGCAAGTTCAAGGTCTCACGAATTGACTGCCGTAAATGTTCAATTCGAATAACTAAAACAAATTGAATTGTCTGTGGGAATTCGTTATGGTTAAATAAATACAAATATGGCAGCGCATTTCGCGGAGAAGTTAATAAATGGAATACTTTGTTCAATTTACTTTTACATATTTAAGTAAAAAAAATGTGTTTGAGACTATATTTATGTATGCATTAATCTAATAATTAATACATATAGAAAGCCTTTACATAAAGGTGTACATGTCGAGCTCTAACCGCCAAAAAACGTAAGCGACAATTTTATTTTTAATTTTTTTTTTGATCCGAAATGCATTTAGATGCTCTGAGAGCATTTCTGCATCACAAAGAAAATTTCGATAAGAAATTTTGCTTATCTATGTATGTATGTTTTCTTGGCGGTTAGGCCTCTATATGTATGTATGTGTATTAGGGTGGTCCAAAAATGCATGTGAAAAAGTAAAGTCGGAATTTTTATGCTCTCACCCCCTAGGATTGTTCTATACCGAAACAAGTATACCCTTTTTATTTTGAAATAAAAAAAAAACAAATATATAGAGGTCGCTCAAATCGCCCAAAGTTTTCCATGTACTTTATATGGGGGAAAAACAACTTTTCGTAAAAATGGTATAGAATAGTTAAAAATCAATATTTTTTTTACCAGAAAACTCTGCTTATCTGCGGGAGATTCCCAATAATATACCCAATTGTTTATTTAACAATTTTTTCATCGCAACTATAATTTATAGGTCCGCCAAAAACCCACAAAAACCTCGAAAAATGCAATGGGGCGACCAATAAAAAATCGTTAGTATTAAAAAATGCTTAAATAAACAATTGGGTATTATTATTAAAAGTCTATTGAAGAGAACCAGAGTTTTCCGATCGAAAAATATTGATTTTTAAGAATTCTATACCATATCTACGAAAAATTTAATTTTTACCATATAAAAATACATGGAAATAAATAAAAAAATATTTTTTGATTTCAAAATAAAAAAAATAGGGTTATACGTTTTTCGATATAGAACAATCCTAGGGGGTGAGAGCATTACGATTCCGAATTTACTGTTTTTGGACCACCCCAATGTATATACCATTTGTATTTGCACTTTTCGTTTATCAAAATCACCCGTTTATTAAAAGCAACTCTAGCACGAGGTGCTATTTCTTTTAGTTAAAACATATTTTGTATATTGTCAATGGAATTATCGTCACGTATTTGTAAGCAACAAGATTAAAAACAAACAAACAAACCACCATATATGTACATATATACATACATATGTATGCACATTAGACCGTACCAGAAGTTGGCCGTGCTCCCCTTTTTATTTTTTCCTGGCCGAATGTAGGGATTGCCTTTTTAATTTTTTGTCATATCATCGGCATTTGCAGTGGGGTCTTCAAGTATGATATATCGATGTTGTTTTCTCGAGGATACCATTTTTTGTTTGTTCCAAAGTTCATTGATCTCAAGTTACCCGTTCTAGTATTTACCTACCAGATCTCAGCCCTTACCACCCTAATGTCAACAATTAAAGCTTTTCAAAATTCAATAAAGTGTTGCTAGGGAAGTTTTCGATTATTCCAGTACAACTATTTAAACAATTTTTTTTTATTGCCGAATGTGGGTGTCACCGAAAAATGTACACAGGCGACCCCTGGGTTCGAAAAAAAACAAAACACTTTTTTTCGTAATTGCCTTGAAAATATACTTTAGTCTCAGTGGAGTTTTGTTTGTTTACTTAGCTTAGTATCCAGCTCTCAAGAAAAGCAAAACTCCATATAATAAAACGCCGAAGAAATAGCGTAGACATTTTCTTGTGTCAAATTTTCTTTATGCAGTACGGAGTTTTTAAGAAATCGGTTACGCTTTCTACTATGGTTTTCTAAGGGTTTTTTTTGCGAACAAATGTATGTAACATATGTATGTATATACATTAGACTGCATCACTCCCCATACAACCCCCGCATTTTACTTCAACGAGTGGCTGTTGGCAATTATTTTATTCAAACAAAAAGAATATTGCAGAAATTCCAAGAAAAATTCCCTGTAGGCAGCAGAGTTCATTTTTCGCCTCAGAAATGTTAAATTTCTCCATACTGCAATTGCTAACATTGCTCAGAGCATTGGCCTTTCAGCGATAACGTAATTTAAATAAAGGTTCACGTACAGCACAGATAGACAGATTGACTCAATGAAGGTAACCAAAAAACAATGTTTGCTTATACATATGTATTTATCTATTATATGGTTTTTTGATTTTTTTTATATGGGCAACTAAAATGAAGCAACGAAATTGAACTTCAAAGCAAGTTTTTTCTAGTACATAGGCTATGGCAAGTCAGCGATATATAGTATGAGTCATATTAATTCCGATCATCGAAAAGTCCAAAAAGATTTACCTATTACTCATATTTACATTAAATTTTACACACACAAATGTCAATATATTCACGAAAATAGGGGCCAAAAATAGTAAAACTACGCTTTCAGTTTTTTATGATTAATTCTAAAAAATGTTTAGATATTTAAAAAATTCAGCGCAATGTGGAATAACAATATGGGTATCAAATAAAAGACAAAATTCTGAAGGATTAAACATATTTTTATTTTTTGCCGCATAAGGACGAACTTTAAAATTCTATCCATGAATATCTTTGAAAATGTGCAGTGTTTATTTTTGACAAAAAAAAAATCATCATATGACATCTTTGAATTTCGTCCTTCTAACTTTATTGGCTTAAAATAGTAAAACTAATGAAAGAGCATTTTATAAAGAGCATTTATTTGTGTAGGTATTATTATTTTTTTAATCTACAGAATTTTCATTTTCATTTGGTACCCATGTTGTTCTACATTGCACTGAATTTTTTAATTAATTTTTGGTATTAAGTCCTGACGTCAGAGAGAAATAATTAAAACGCAAAGAGAAAATTTCAAATTTCTATACGAAATCAAATTTGGCGAAATTTTCAAGTTTCAATCACAACTGGTGTTCACCCACGGTTGCATTTCATACATAAAACATTTTTTATAAAATTATTTTTGATGTACAAATAATGGGGCCTATAGCTGTGTAACTATATTTCTTCTTATTCTGAAATTAAAATTATTATCGACAAAAATGCAACCATGTGCCACAATCCTGCTGGAATTCTTGCTGGCAAAAATTTTTCGAACAAGAATGTGCAAATTCCCAATAGAACTGTCACTGAGCGCTTTAAATTTATCCTTGCTTGCAAATCTTTTTGGTCTACACGAACGCGTTTTGATAAATTATTTCCTCTACGAACACTCATTTTGTCACTAAGATTCTAATACTAGACTTACTAAATGCATAAAAGATATCAAAAATAAGCAGATTTTTCTTGATAAAAACTAAAGACACCACGGCATTTTTTTAATTTTCACCACATCTAGTATTAAAAAATTATCACACTTCTCTAATACCCACAAGTTCAGATACAAGCACGGATTTAGAAGAAAAAGAGTTCCTATTCCAGTGAATCGAGGTGTATATACATATGTGACGCCGCACGAAGAAACACACCTTAGCGTCTTTTTGGAAATTTTACGGGACGGCCGAAAGAAAAGGTATTTTACCTGTAGCTTTTTGACTCAGATCGGCTTTTAATATTGAAAAAGCCCGCTTGAAACCATTGGAACCAGGAGTCTAAAAGAAATATCCAACAAACCGCGTCAGCAATTATTTTATATGTATGTACATATCGTTACCTTAATTCGCAACACTTTTGCTTTTAGCTTCTACTGTAAAATAAAAAAAAAAATTGTTGGTTAGGGCCTTTGTGAATTAAGGTAACGGTATACAAATTTATTATCAAGTTTTTGGTAACCAAAAGCTGATATCAATTTCCCAAGAAATGGCAAAAGGGGTGTACTGACTATGTAAATATGTATTAGTTATGTCTATACCATAAATTTATCGAAAGCACGATTTTACCAAAAAGTTTTGTTATCATAAATAAAGTGCTTCCAGTGAATAGCTGTTATCAATTTCATACTAAATCACGCTTACCAGTAATAACAGTCAGAGAATTTTCATTAAACAGGTGCAAGTATATACAGTTAATGTCAAAATATGCATATCCTGACGTTTTGACGATTTTACTTATTTTTATTTTCCATACAATGAATATTTTTAATTTCATACAGAACTTGGCTACAAAACTGCGTATGGGTATTTGAAATCTGGCGTTACGTGACATTCGTATGACAAAATGTAAAAAAAAAAAAATTTAAATGGTCAAAATTTTAAAAAGCGCGATTACATGGCCTCTTATTCAGTAAAAAATTTCACAACTGCTGCTAGTAGCGATTTAAAGATATTAGTAAACATATGCGCATTAAATTCTAGTATAAAAAAATGCAAGTTCGGAGTTAGTCAAAAATGGCATTGATTTTTGAGAATTTTTTTGTTGAAGGTGTTTTGCAATTTTTCCATACAAATTATATTCGATATTTTTGTTGTATGGAGAGACTGCGTGAAACAAATTACCAAAAATTAACGGTAAGTCGTAGCTACCTAAAACTTCTACTTTATTACAATTGGTTGGGCTACAAATCTGCATACTCAAAAAAATTATAGAAAATCTTATTAAAAAGTTGAAAATTTGCAGAAAGTTTAGAAATTTAATTTTCATGTTTTTTGTTATAGAATGAACCATATTTTTATAAAAAAAAAAAATTGGCGGAAAAATATTAGAATAAAAATTGTTGCATATATTGTAAAAAAGCAGCTGTGCCAACACTTTTTGCCGGCAATGTATGAAATATAAAGAATGTATTCTTGTGGATATTGCTGTTGAATGAACGATATTTTTATAAAAAAAATTAGAAAAATTTGGTCTCTAAAATATCAAGGCGTATCAAACAGGCATTAGAGCAAAAAAAAAATATTACGTGTATTTTGGTTTTGCTTCTGGTATCTAAAGTGTATAAAAAATAGTAAACTTTTTTATATATCAAAGTGGGCGATGGGAAATATAAACAAAAAATTAAAAATTTATGCGACTTTCTTTCTTTCTAAAATTGTTTCATTCCAGAAGCTTAATTACTTCCTTTGCAGGGCCCAATAACCAGCGTTTGTGCTTCTGAGTTAAGCAAACGTTCCAAAGACCCAGCCTTTACATCACTTTTTTTGAATTTTAGTTACTATGAAAAAATGGTTAAATAAATTATTGGGTATTATTATTGGGAATCTTTTGAAGAGAAAAGAAATTTTCTTATCGAAAAATAATGATTTTCAAGATTTCTATACTATTTCTATGAAAAGTTTGTTTTTTGCCATATAAAATACATGGACCCTCCTTTGAGCGTTTTGACCGCTTTGAGCGACCTATAAATATTTTTTGATTTCAAAATAAAAAAGGGATATATTTTTTTTTCGGTATAGAACAATCCTAGGGAGTGAGAGTATACAAATTCCGACTTTACTTTTTCACATGCATTTTTGAACCAGCCTACTGTACATACATACATATGATTCATTCACACCTAAGGATTGCTCATAATCAGCGTGCTATCAATGGTATTGAAAGTTTAGTTATCAAGAATTTTGTCATTATTTGTTTATGGTGGGCGAAAGAGCAATTTGTTTTTGTTGTAAATAATGGAGCTTTCGATTAAAAATTTGGCTCTTTAGTACATAGTTTTTTTCCACACGAATCACGGCTGAAGGTTTTACTAATAATAATAATATTTTGGCGCTTACACTTTTGCCAGTTTTTTATTTTTTCGAATTTTTGCCTTGAATTTTTTAATTTTTTTTTTATTTACAAGCTTTTATTAAGTTTCGCCTGTGTGCAATCAAATCTTGCAATCAATTTTTAAATAACTTCCCGATGAGCCTGAGATGAAAGAGGAATTAATCCGTTAGGTGGCGCGGGTATCGATATATTTGAAACAAAAAAAATGTATTTATCGGTCGATTTTTAAAATGAGCTTCAAAACTGCATACCCTAAATTGTTGCAGTTGTTACAGTTTGTTGAATTTTCATAATTTTTGTACGAAGTTTGAAATGTGGATGCTGGTAAGTAAAATGCTGGACTTTTATAAAAAAGATATAAACTGTAAATAAACAAAACCAAAATAGCCAAAACTAGTCAAAATGTGACTTGACTTAATCAGCTGACCCCAAGGGCACATATGTACATATATTAAAACCTATATTTGTAGGTCGTTTTAAAAGTCAAGGTAAATTTTCTATCTAACGAGAAACTTTTTCTGAATTCTCTATCTCAAAAGCTTAAAACTACCGTTACATTTATTTCGCTACCTCTTCTAGTTCTGGAGATAATCGATTTTGTCTTCTTTTTTCAAAAATGTGCGCCGCCTCCGAAGGGCAAATGGATTTTATGCGAAGCTTTTACATGGCAGAAATATACTCGCAGGTTTGTCATTGCCTGCCGTGAGGCGAAACTTTCTCTAATTTAAACGTAATCTAGACCAGGGGTCAAACCCAGGTTCTAAGGAACGCAACTCTAACCCCTTAGCCAAAGCGTGCGGGCGTTAAATGCAATAAAATATATGCCAATTCAAAGAAAAGTGGTCAAGAGGGCGACGTATTTACTTTTTGATTAGCTGATTCATTGCTAATTTGGGGGAATTTCGCTTGAAAATTAGCCATAATTTGCTGATAGCATTTTAATTTTTTTTCAGGATATTAAAGAAAAATTCCTGATAAAAAAAAACAAGTTGATTTATTTTATTATTAATTAATTTTTTTCCTTTAAAAAAATGAACACTAACATGTACATTATTCAGTACAGGGTTATGATTTTTTTTAGATTTAAATGCCTGTGGTGGCAAACGATGAACTTTTGTATAAATTTTCAAAATATAACAACAATTTTGACAAATTATAAAAAAAACTCCCGCGCATAGCGGAATTTATTATCAGTTTCTAAGTGGAGAAAATTAATATTCAAACATGTTTTTCTTCTCAAATGTTTTATGGTTTTATTAAGGTAAAATAGATTCGTGGATTTAGTGCTGATACACATCGTTTTTAAATCAAAACTTGGTAGGCAAAAAGGAATTTCGGTCGAATTTTTATACTAGGTATGGGGCTTTGCCATGCAACAGCCTTGTAAATGAAATGATAGTGTGCGCGGGAGGTATTTGCACGAACCAACAAAAACATCGCCAAAAAAGTAATATATGGACAAAAGTTCATTAAATGCAAGCACAGGCAAATCAAAATTTAAAAAAAGTGTAAAAAAATCATAGCCCTAATGTACATACGTACAAAAATATCGTCACAAAGGCCTTAACCAAACATTTTTTATTTTACAGGAGAAGCAAAAACATTATAAAATGAGTATGAAACACAGGAAGGGCTTTTTGAAAAGTGGCATGTAACTCCGTTGTTTTTGGTGTATTTTAATCAGTGAAAAACGCAGTTTCGAAAATAGTGTTGGTTAGGGCCTTTGTGAATTGAGGTAACAATATATAGTATAATATGTTTATAGTATCAGCTTGCTGTTTGATATTATTTGATATATTGTTAGCCACATACATACATCTGTATATGGGTACGTATATACATATACGTTCACGTCAGTTAAGTATGAGATAGCACAGCAGTGCATGAATGTACTCCTAAATAAAACAAACAAAAAAACGTATCTGCAATTAATTCTATATCTTAACTTGCGTAATTTTAGCTTATATATGTAAGCCATGTTATAAAATAATTACATTATAACAATTATTATTTTATCACTACCGGTTTTATATCACTTCTTTTTTTGCAACTTATTTCAATTTTATTTAATCGAACTCACACTGAAACCGTTTATATTTTCAATCACACTGAGTTGCCCTTTAAATGTTATAATTTTCACACGAATAACTTAACAGTTTGTAGTTGTAATCAACTGGCACCGGCTGTGGTAGGCGTCCAACTGAACGTTGTTAACAAATTGTACTTTTCCTTCCATGTATATATACATATGTATGTATGTACCTACATAAGTTGAGAGATAAAATACGACGTACATACATACATATGTAGTTAACATATTGCAAGCGTTCGTCAAAAGTATAGCAACACACAATTTGGGAATTTCATAGAATATAAGATACACAGTGACTCAAACAAGTGTTCACGTATTGATTTTTTGTTTCTAACATTCAAAATTGGGGTATTCACACCTGCCTGGTTATCAGGTCATCTGGTTAGTTCCTTTATTATTCTCTATTGTATTTTGTTTTTGTAAACCAGGCAGGTGTGGTTTTTAAGTAAAGTTTTTTTTTGTAATTTTTCTTTAGAAATATTATCCCAGGCATACAAATCAAAGCTTCAAACCTTATACAAAATTTAAGAAAATTTAACCAGATTTCATCAAAAATTTCGATCTTCTTATCTAATAAATTTTTTTTTTGTTTTTAAATATTTTTTACGGATTTTTCCACTTTCTTCCATATAAACATGATTTTCTTATAAAATAAAGTGCGGTCTTTCGCAAAGCAAAACATGAAAAACAGGCAACAGTCGTTAATGGCAACATATTGGCGACTCGCCGAGTGCGTTTTCTGTTATAGAAGGGCCAAGGATCCTCGTTGTTGCCCAGGACGAAAAGTTTTCCTGTACATTGGCTGAATGAGTCGTATGATCTCTTGAATATCGTTCAAATTAAGCCATTGATATATACCCCGAATTCTTCATTGGAAGGATGTGGTCGAATCTTTCCTTGCTAACTCGCCACTTTTACAATTCCTATTAACATCCGGTCGTTCAAGCGCCTACACACATACATATATTAATTAGATTCTTTAAACCTGGGCTATCTCGTTCAGAGATATATAGCATTCAGTAAAAGAATTTGCATCGTCTATGTGTGCGTATAAAGCTTTGGGGCGGCCTGACAGCCACAGAAGAAAAATACTTTTGTTTTCTCTAGGTCTTTGATCAAGATTTTTTGGTGCCTCCTAAATGGCAAAAATATCTGAATCACACGAGATTCCTTTTTGCCATGAACTGGTTTTGTTGAGTCTTACTGCTGCAATAACGGGCGCCTCGAGGCGTATATGAGGTAGAGATGCCGTTTTCAAATCGATTAAATCGAAGATCGATTAATCGAGCCCTTTCAATTCGATTTTTTGTCGATTTATAATTTCCGTTCTATAGCCCAATGAATTTTAGGTGCAAGCTTAAATATATCAGGACTTAGCGTTGATTTTTGGCGATTTTTCTCTTGACGCTCAAGCACATTTTCTTCCATATATAAAACAATTTCGAGCTATGGAGGAAATGAGCAACATCTTCAGTGGAAAAAATTGCCAGAAATCAAAATTGATAGCTTTTGGATAAATGTAGATATTGAAACCGTTATGAACAATGTAAGTTTTAACGATTAATTACAATAAATGTTTGTAATTTCAATGTTGGTCAGATCGCTGTTTCGTTTCTTTAAGGAAATTAAGTAAAGTATATGAATCGATCTGGGGGAATCGATTTATTTTTTGACGATTTCTTCCTGCATCGATTATTTTTATTTCAATTCGAATCGATTGAAAAATAATTTTTTTTTTTTTTCGATCTGGCATCTCTAATATCAGGGCGTGATACAAAGGTGTGCTTACAAAATTTTGTGCTCTTTGAATGCACATATAAAAAGCAAATTCGTATAACATAAACATAGGGCTAAAGCAGATCAGCCATACGAGATTTCTATATATTACGCCTGCTCCGCAATCTGTTGGGTCTAATTTTTGTAGAAGCATTGTTTATCATGATATAAATACCCATTATAAATTTCAACAAGATTGTACAATTTTCTAGCGCTACCTAGCGAGTTTTCTAGCAGCCGATAATAGGACCGTATATGTATGTATGCAAAGTATAACCTCCGAAAATATGAATGAAATCTATCCATATAATATATGCATATTATGTAGATGCTATTGGATGAATTATACCATTATAAAAAAAAAAAAAACAATTGAAAAAAAAAATCTTATACTGTGTCTGTTTCTAATCATTTGGCGAGGTACTGTGTGTACATACATACGTTTTTGTTGATACTTTTACCGCTTCGCACATTTTCTAGGCTAAACATTTTTATTCCGTCATCAATTTTCACGCCAAAGTTTTTAATTTAAATTTGTTGTTGTCCTAAGCTTCGGATCGCGATGTCTTATCAGAAACCAAAATTACACGAGGCACATAAAAATACATCTGTCATTCTGAAATCTTGGCAAATATGTATGTATGTACAGTAGCGGTCATATAAATATTACCATTATTAAAAATTAGTGTATTCACCTTAGGCTCCATACACACAAGGGGCCGTATGCATAAAAACCAAGCAATTGATTTTTCTTAAAATGTTATATATTTCATTTAAAGTTATTTGAACAAATCGAGTAAAAGGTCTGAAATTTTAAGAAAAAGTATTTGCTTAGTTTTTATGCCACTGCCCAAGGGGTTCCACCAAAGCACGCAAGAAACAGTTTTTGTGTCAAGTTCTTAAAGATATTAATAATATTTTCCAAACAGGTAACGGATTAATTGAAAATACCAAAAATTAAACACTAAAGGCAACCTAATATAAAATCATTTCTACAAAAAAATATTTTGTTTTAGTACAAATGGGTCGATTACGGATTGTAACCGATCTTAAGTTGCGTTACCAGTGGCTGAAATGGTATTACGAATGACAACTACTAACTGCAGGCAACTGAGTTGCTATAACGGCAACTAATTTTTAATGGTTGCCGGGGAAATTTTGATTGAGAAACTGTTTCTGCAGTTTGTTTACATTCTTGCTTGCTTATCTCCAACTTTGTAGCTCTTAACTATAGTTGCTATTCTTAATATACATTCTAATTTCAATGGCGTTGCCTATCGGCAATCCCATTGAGGTTGCGTTGCTGTACCTAATCGACCCATTAATCTCAAAAACGGCGCGGGTATGTCACTATGCTAGAGAAAGAAGTTTATAAAAAGTTTTTAAAATCGTCCTACCTACGTCCTGAAAATAACCAAAATCGCATTTTCTTCATTACTATTTTATTTGTGATACGTTTTCAAAGAGCGCGTAGATCGTATATTCTTAGAATAATAATTTTACTATAAATAACAGCAATAGACAAGATACAAAGACAATAAATTTGATTTGCAGTTTGTCAATTTGTTCATTTCCATTCGGGAAAAGTCGCAAGGTGTGTTAGGCATCAAAAAGAAGAAACTTACCCACATTTCCGGTCTGTGAAACGCTGGCTGCGCTAATCTGGTATGGAATAACTCAAGGTCTGGTATGTTAACTCAAGTATCGATATATTTAGCCATTAGTGTGCTAAATGCTATAAACTATAGCCAAATGTAACGCACTTGTCATCACACCCTCTTAATTGAAGATAGCATATTTTTTTCCTAAAACAATGATAATAAATAATTAAAGTGTCAATGTTACTAGGCTCGACCTTTGTTAAAGTAGATCCGAACATAAACACTGTTGTTTTGGACTGACTAAAAATTAATATGCACATACATATACATATGTACATACATGCATACGTGGTATTTATATTAGGGTGGTCCTTAAAAATATCCACATCATGGGTGCCCCATATTGGTACAAAATAAAGGCATTTCAAAATAAAGTTAAGGGTTTTGGAAAAATTTAATTTTTTAACTCGCAAAAATTGGACAAAATGTTGACTTTGACCAGCTATGCAGCGAGTTTATGAATAGGTTTCAATAATATGTGTGTCAACAAATCAAATCAAATTTTGTCGAATTTTAGCGATTTTTAAAAAACGTTTAAATTTTTTCAAAACTTGGTAGCGATTTTTTTTTTAATTTTAAAATTTTCCGGTATTTCTTTATTTTGTACATGGAACAA